GATCTCCGGCAGGACGAGCGCGTGATGCAGTTCTACGGCCTCGTCAACACACTACTTGCGGTCGACATGGATAGTTTCAAACGCAAGCTGCGCATCCGCAGGTTTCCCGTCATTCCGCTTGGCCCGCACGCGGGTCTACTAGGGTGGGTACACGACAGCGACACACTTCACGTGCTTGTGCGCGACTATCGCGAGTCGCGCAAGGTGCTGCTCAACATTGAGTACCGGCTTATGCTGCAGGTGTGTGGCGTTTGGCCCATGTCAGAGGTTGATAAAACGCTCAAACGGACGATCAGATGGCACCGGACTACGAGAGTCTGATGCTGCTCCAAAAAATCGAGGTCTTTGAGTACGCGCTTGAGAACACGACCGGCCAAGACCTCTACCGCGTGCTGTGGCTCAAGAGCGTCAACTCGGAGCACTGGCTTGAGCGGCGCGCAACGTACACGCGCTCGCTGGCGGTGAACAGTATGGTCGGGCACATCCTCGGCCTCGGCGACCGACACCCGTCAAACCTAATGCTCGAGCGCAAGACGGGCAAGGTCGTGCACATCGACTTCGGTGATTGTTTTGAGATCGCGATGCATCGTGATAAGTTCCCTGAGAAGATTCCTTTTCGGCTGACGCGTATGCTCACGCACGCCATGGAAGTCTCTGGGATCGAGGGTAGCTTCAGGCACACGTGCGAGATCACGATGAACGTCTTGAGGGACAACAAGGAGAGCTTGTTGGCGGTGCTCGAGGCGTTCGTGTACGATCCACTCATCAACTGGCGGCTGATGCCGACAGACGGAGATAAGCGGCTGGGAGGTTCGTACTTCCGTCTGCAGTAGTTCAAGACTGATGGCGCGCTTGTGCAGGTAACGAGGCCGTCCGACAAGCAGAACTGGCGCGCGTCACGGCATATCCGCAAGGGCCAACACGCAAGCTGAAAGCAGACGAAAATGACATTCTCAACGGTATGTTTTGAAGTAACGACAGCGAGACTATCTATCTAGACAATGTTGTAGAGGCCCAGGAGAAGCGCGATGGCCGCGCGCTCGCGGTATATCGCCGCGTCGAGCACAAGCTCACCGGGCGCGACTTCAGCCCCGAAGTCGTCCTCTCCGTCGAGGCGCAGGTCGAGAAACTCATCGCACAGGCGACGTCGCTCGAGAACCTGTGCCAGTGCTTCTCCGGATGGTGTGCTTTCTGGTGACCTCCCGGATTAGCTCTGGCGTGGACAGTGTGCTCTTTCTTCGGAAGTTCGCTATCGCAATTGTTGCATCTCGTCATCCTTGCTTTGCCGTAGATACCTTTTTATACTCCTGGGATTTTCTCCGTCGTGGATTTTCGCTGTCTATGTACAGTACTCCTGATCCCTCTAGCCTAGCATGTGAACGATTCCTGATCATAATATCTAGCTTCTCTCTTGCAGGATGTGACTCTGAATTAAGACTAGGGTGCCAGGGTCATACATCCTCTCCAACGGGTATTGTCATGCCATGAAGCCCGCGGTAGTCACTAACGCTGGACTTCTGCCAATGCATCCCGTTGAGCGTTTTTGCATCGACCATCCACACCTCGACGTTGATAGACCGACAGACCGTCTTCATATCGTCCTGCTGGCCCTTGGGATTGCCGTCCATGGTTCCGACCCAGCCCCATCGGCCTAGGTCGCCCCCAGGGCAAGTGCTGAGGGCACACAGCAGGTCCGTCTCTGCGAAGAATTTGATATATTCATCTTGAGTAGATGGGGAGGGTTCCATGCAGTAGCGCCCCTCCGTGTCGAGGGTAATAACCTGGAATACGTTAAGGACATCGTGGACATCCGCCTCGGTTAATCCGTAAGGGATAACGGCGCGGGTGAGGTTGGAGTGGCAGCGATGGTTGTATGTGCGCCGTGCGGCCCGGTAACATTTTGTTCACTGGAGATAAGCTCTTCTGACAGTTCACACAGAGAGGTAAGCTGCATACCATATGGTCGCATCGTGTATCGAGCAAATCGTGGCACCGTCCTCCCCACTTGCTGCGACCTTTTCCATTGCCTCAATGCCCACGACCTTCGCGGCCGAGCGTGTCTGCGACGATCGTGCACAACGCCTGCAAATAGGGCAGGCAACTCCAGAGACGGTCACCTGTGCTGATGTGACTGGCGTACAGCTGGCGCGTTCGCGATGCCCAGAAGCGCTCACGTGGGTTCTGTGCCAACCAGATATTCAAGTCACAGACCTGGGGTCCGGCTGGGGTGCCGAGGCGGAAGATGGCCTCTGCGGCAACTTTCCGCGCGCGGCCAGACCGAGGCGAGGTTGTAAACGAATCGACAGGTGTGCGCTAGGCGACAGCGATGGTATCATAGACGACAGGCGTCAGTGCGGAGAAGGCAAAGACAGGCGGGAACGAGACGAACCAGCGACGACGAGTCAACGAGGCTGGAGGCCTAGAGCATCGAGGAAAAGGGGAGTGAGCTTTGCGAGAAGGAGAGAAAAACAAGACGAGAAGACGAACCGGAGCAACGAGTTGCCGAGGCCGAAGACTAAGACGTCAAGGGTGTCAGTGACGAATTACGATGAGACGAAGGGTAGAAGAGCGAGACTCACCAAGGCAGCACCACAACCAATCAATAGATAACTGGAGACGAGAGAAGGAGACGGAGAAGGAGGAGAAGGAGAAAGCAAAGAGAAAGAGGGCACAGGGAAAAACAAAGAGCGTGGTGATAATGGAACAAGAGGCGGAGGGCAGAACGAGGCATGGGCGGCGGCATCACCGACGACGACGACGACGACGACGAGGGCACCTAGACGATGGTATTGGGGCAGAGGTAGGCGTCGGGGAATTCTGCCTTGACCCATTTCCAGAGCTGGAACATGGGGGTCACGTAGGTGATGTCGGAGGACTCGGTCTTGCCGGAGCCGCCGTTGAGCATGCCGCCCATCCGACCGAGACCGTCGACGACCAGGGACCCGGAATCGCCAGGGGCGGAGAAGACGCCGCTCTTGTTGTCGTAGTTGTAAACAGCCCACTCCATAGACGTCTCGCCAGTGTCCAGGTCGCGGACGAAGGACTCAATGCCGGTGGCGCGGCCGATGGTGACGCCCGTCGCGTTACCGCTCTTAATGACAATCAGGCACGGCTCGTTGTCGTGGTCAAGCATGTCGGGGGCGCGCATGAGCTCCTCGGAGATCATGCCGCGGATGGGGAGGAGGCGGCCGGCGGGATACTTGAACGAGGGGCGGCCGTCGTCGCGAGGATACATCTTCAGAGTGAAGTCGTCGCGTCCAATCTTGGTCTCTGAGATGTATGTAAGCGTCAGAGCCGGCGACAAAGGAGAAGAAGAATGGACGGGAAAAACGTACCGAGGCCTATAAAGGAGCCCTTGTAATTTTTAAACCTGGACCCATCTAGCTCGATGACCGCCCAGTCGCTCGTGAACCCGCCAGGCTGGACGTTGAAAGCGACGGGCGGGGAGCGGCGGATATGGCCGATGATGCGATTCTTGGCGGAGCCCCAGTCCTTCTTGACGGTGGCGTAAAACTTCTCCAGGGCTTCGATAGCTTCGTTGGCCTCCGCCAGCTGGCCTTGGGCCTTGGTCAACTCCTTCTTAGCCTCAGCAACGTCGTCCTCATCAAGCTCCTCATCACCCTCCAGCTTATCCTTCGACCTCTTGATATCCCGCTCGAGAATTTCCACCATGATGCCGTGGCGGCCGATGCGAAGACGGATGGACTCGAGCAGCCTGTTGAAGGCGCGGGTGCCGAGAAGATGGACGCTCTTGCGAGGGGCGCCGCCGCCCTGCAAGGTGTAGTCCTCGTTGTGGTCGGCGTCGACCTTGAGCGCCACGTGGTGGCAGGTCAGCGCGAGCGTCTTGGTGCTCTCGCCGCCCTCGGCGAAGTAGACGGCGACTGTGCCCTGGGCGTCAGGGCGCTCGGCAGTGGCGATGGGCAGCCCGAGGGCGGTGGTGAGGGGGTCGCACACGTCGACGATGTGGTTGACATTGGAGACGGATTTGAGGAGCGCAGGGCCGACTGAGCGATGGTAGAGAGACTCCCGGAACTCAACCTCGACGTCGTGAACATCGAACCCGCTGAGGACGTCGAGGATTTTCCCGGCGGCGATGAAGGCGTCGTCACCCGTGAGCGAGCCCGGGCAGACGCCGACCCAGACCACGACCGGGCCCAGAGTCGTTGTGCCGTCGTCCTCGTGAGTGAGGAAGCGGATGCCGTCGATGGATGTCCACGCCACCCTCTCAGCCGTGAGCAGGTCCCGGACCTTGGGCCCCGCCTTCGTCGCCCAGACGAGGTTGAGGGGATGATTGAAGACGCCGCGTGTCTCCTTGAGCCGACGGTACGCCTCGAGTCCCTTGGGCATGATGAAGGGCCGAGCATCGCTGCCGGTGCGGTACACAAGCCTGGGCGGGGTCGGAGAGATGCCGGCGTAGTAGAACATGGCCTCCGCGTTGGAGACGGAGTGGGGAGGCGGGTCCGACGAGGCGCTAGAGGCATCGTCACTGTCGAAGCTAAGGTTGGAGAAGGCTGAGGAGACGGTGTCGGTGGGGGACGCCGTGGTCTGGGCGCTCTGCCGCGCCTCTATGATGCATAACGAGACGAATTCTGAGGAGATCACTGGGGGCGAGGAGACGGGGTGGATCAGCATAGAGTCATAGCAGTAGAACGCAAAGGACTCACTTGTGTATTCCGCGATGGATAATCACAGAGAGAGAGAGAGAGATTTCGAACAGAGAACTGGGTGAGCAAGCTAGGTAGGTCGTTCGGACATTTCGATGCCCAGAAGCACGTCCGAGGCCGTAGGTCATTTGCCTGCGGCTCAAGGCGTAAGAGTTTCCCCCACGACCCTTCGTAGAAAAAAAGGGGTATTGAGCCCGTACGGTCTAAGCATCTTATCTGAACGCAGCACCAAGAACTTCAAGAAGAGAAGACAGGGCGAAAAGCAAGCCCCGAAATCAGCCAAGATCGTGGAATATGAATTGTGCTGAGAAACTTTTGCTTGAGGCCTAAATGCAAGGCCTGGTGGTCTAGTAGTATGATTCCTTCTTAGGGTTCGTGCTGATTGCGAGAGGTCCCGGGTTCAATTCCCGGTCAGGCCCCTTCGGCCTGATGGTCTAGTCGCATGATTCTCGCTTTGGGCTCGGCAATTTGGAGGAGGTCCCGGGTTCAATTCCCGGCCAGGCCCCACTTTTTGTTCTGCGCACCGGTTTCGCCCTTCATGTTAAGCAGGAAACAATGATTGTATCAAGCAGACGGACTGGTTAGTCGGTTACAACCGTTGTTAACCCCCGCTCGGCCATACGTGAGACACTATGCTGTTGCACAATGAGCTCCAAGATCGAGCGCTGGCCGCGCTTCACGATCTTCGCAGCGGACCACCATCTCTGAACTAGGCGCGTATTCTCCGAGTTTGAGCTTTCAGCGTTGGCTCTGTCGGGTGGAACCTTATATCCCCATCGTATTCTGTGTTCAACCGGGTTTTCTGAAGACCAAGGACCTTCCAGCTTGCTAGGTTGTCTTCTCGCTTTGAGCTCTTATCATGCCTCGAGGTATTCCCAACGTCAAGCGCGATGAAACGCAGGGAATGCGTTACACGACGTTCACCGTCCCTCTCCAGTCTGTGTACTCCAACGATGCTCGTATGGTTGGCTTGTCTTACTGGCTGAATACAGACTCAACCTAAAGCACATGAGCTCTTCGTACTTGAAGTCTGATTCGCAGACTATTTGGGCTCGGAATGCCGTCCGGCAAAAGGCTGCGAGAGATGCCACGCCCCTTGAAGTAAGTACTAGTTGTCTCCTGATTGCTAACCAAGTCTTGCTTAGCCTCGGAACTAGGGTCGTCGAGGGTCTAACGTCATCGTAATTCACCCTGGCTCGAGATTTCTCCGCATTGGACGCGCGTCGGATATAACGCCCACAACTGTTCCCAGTTGTATTGCAAGGAAGACTGCTTCTCCAGTGCCGGCGTCCATTTACATTGAGAATATCACCCGGCCGCGGAAATCCGTAGTAAAACACCATCCGCCTGCTGGTGACGAGTACGCCGTTGCGCCTGCGTCCGATGATCCAGTACGTTGGCGCCTTCATTCTGCTGAGCGGCCTTCCAGAAAAGATTATGCACGCAGTTTGATGAACGTGTCAGCAGTATACGCCTGTCTTTGCGAGATCGTATGCGCTTTTACAAGCTTCGGGTCACTCCAGATGCGGCAAACAAAGCGTTCATGTTCAATGTCCAGTCACGGCCGGAAATTATCCCAGAAGAAAACGACATGTTCCGGGTGAAGTTCATCCAGGAACCCCCCGCCGATGACTACCTTGTTGGAGAGAAGGTCAGTCGCACGTGCTATGATTGTCCTTCGTCGCTGATGCTTCCGCACGAAGGTTCTACTCTTGTCGGATCCGCAAAAGCTCGGTTTCGCAGTGAGGTATCCGATTGTGAGCAGTAGGTTCAATACGAGGGACTATCCCTCCACCCAGATGATTCTGGACGACATCGAGACGATCATCGCGACTACCCTCCAGGAAAAGCTCGGGATTGAACCAAAGTTCTTCAAGGTCTGCTCCTTTGATTATCCCGAGTGTATTCGTTCTGACGCACGATCTTAGGATTACTCGGTTGTTCTCATTATCCCTGACTTTTACGAGAAGACATTCGTGTCCAACCTTGTTCAGATACTCCTCGATTCAATGGGGTTCAAGCAACTCTGCGCGCAACAGGCACATCCTCATATACCTAAATATTCCGACCCACCAACCATTTTCTATAGGAATCGCTCGCTGCCACATACGGCGCCGGACTATCTACCGCGTGTGTTGTGAATATGGGCGCAACTTGCACAAGCATTGCGTGCGTCGATGAAGGCATGGTCCTCCCTGACACTCGGTTTGTTTCTCCACTGTCTGGCCCCGTCATGACTCTGATTCACACAGGTTGTATCTCAACATGGGAGGAGATGCGATCACCGAATTCTTATATGTCTTATTGAGTCGTATCAACCTACCCTATCGGGATATTGATCTATCGCGGTCGTATGATTGGGCAGTCATGGAGGAGCTCAAGGCCAAAGTGTGTACATTAATAGAGGTACGCTCTCATCTTTCTCCATATTTGATTCATTTACGAGCCGTCTGTAGTCAGATGTTGCCCTCAACTTGTACGATTTCGTTGTCCGCGCACCAGGCAGGCCGACGGAGAAATATGGCCTCCGTGCGTACGATGAGGTCATCCTCGCACCAATGGTATACCTCTTGTGTTCGTGCATTAGAAACCCCTCAACTTTGAAACAGTGCTTATTTGAGCCACGAGTCATAGACTTTGACCGGCGTCGTAGGGGCATGCGGCCTCTTCAGCACCCAGACGTGACGGATGAGGTTTACGATCACCGTGAAAACCGTGACAGCGTCGGTCACGACCAACATGTGCGCTTATTCTTACGCATAGTAATAGTCCTCTCACCAAATCACCTTTCGTCGTAGTCGCAGGCGATGATCATCTCTACACAACACCTGCTGGTTCGACAAGCCTCGGAGCAACAGCCTCTAGAACCTATAGATGTGGCTCCATCTGCGACCGACACCGATCCTGCTACCACTGCTACGACTGCGGACCCATCTCCTGTACCAGGTCCAGCTCATCGAATATATTCTTATCCTCGTTTTGACCCCATCCATAGTATCTGGTGATACGTCCGCCGAACCTTCTGACACGCCTATGGACGCGTCCGCAGCACCGTCCCCGAAACCTGAATCCGCGCCGTCGGCCTCAACCGAAATGGATGTTGATGTTGTCGGTGAGACGAAGCCTGCACCTTCCACGTCGACGTCAACGTCAACTGCTCTGCCGTCGCCGCCGAAAACTGCTACCCCCGCAATACGGCATGACATCGACATCGCGTTCGAAGCAAGTAAACTACCTCTAGACGTTGCGATATTCAATAGCACACGTGCCGGCGGTGGACACGACAAAATTCGCAAATATCTGCAATCTGTCCTCGTTGTCGGTGGGACTGCACTCGTCCCGGGTATGTCGCATGCTCTGGAGAGCAGGTATGCTGCATCGGCCTTCTCTGTTGTGGTTGTCGGGAGAATGATGGATAATCTAGACTACAGGCAATTGCGACACCACTCGTCGTTAACATGGAAAAAGTACAGATTGTGCCACCGCCGAAGGACGTGGACCCGCGTGTTCTTATCTGGAAGGGTGGCTCTGTGCTTGGCAAAATGGATGGTGTCGCAGACCTGTGGCTAACCCCGAGCGATTGGGCACGTCGTTCCACTTGCATATGGATTGACCTACTAATGATTCTACTCCAGGACATGCTCGGTATCCGCGGCCTGCGCGAACGCTGTTTCTTTTTGTGAATTGCATGTATTACAGCATCTTTCTATGTTGTATCATGACATGGGTCATTACGTGTGGCATGTGTTACAAGACCGTCCAAACGTCCAATCATGCGGCGACAGCGAACAGCAATCAATCCAGTTCCATACATTGTAATGGTTGCGTACCCTTCGTGATCAGCCAACGTGACGGAGGACCTAGGTACGCACACGCTCCTTCAAAGCCATAAACTCCGTGAACGAGATCGTGCCCCACTGGTCGATGAGGGCGTCCATTTCCTCGCGGCCTCGTCTGGGCGTGCGACGATAAGAGAATGTTTACAACTAAAGAAAATTATACTCGCTCTTTCCTAAGAGCCCATTCACGGCGATTTTCGCCACGCTTAGCCCATTCAAGGAGCAAACGGTGTTCATCAGCGTTGGATAGCACTTCGGCCACCTTTTTCAACTCTATTGACCTGAATCAGAAGGTGACCGCAATCAAAGGACAAGAGCACGCGCCGTTACCCAATATGTAAAGCTTCTGCACGTACATTTCCAGCAGATCATTCAGAGGACGGTTCAAGACGAAGGGACAGCTGTCCAAGGGACGTTCGTTGCAATGGATGAGAGGTATTGGAGCCTGAGCGGCAGAGCGGCAGGTGGGACAGGTGATGGGAGTATGCCAGCTCCCGCACTCGTGCATCACCGAGCATGCCCACCTGAGCAGGCAAAGAGCACAGAAAGTGTGCCCGCACTTGTATGCGAGCAGCATATAGGGAATAGCGCTGGGGAGAACATTTAGCGAGAGGGATGGTCTGAAGAAGGGAAAAGTGTGCAAACACTACTTCAAAGCACCTGAAGACAACATATCAGTCGCGGGAAGACAAGAAAGTAGCAGAGTGCGCACAACGGGCACTTGAAATGCTCGTCTAGTAGGTTGATTATACCATTCATCTCTCCGACAACTTTCTCCTGGGCCTGCCCATCTATGTCATGTAGGATGGACGTCCTGAGATCGTTGATCTCGACCTTCTCCTGGTCAAGAGCTTCTCGCATAACCGCTAGAGCTTGTTTCTCCGTCGTGAGTGCCTTCTCCGCTCTGTGGATTGCAAGCTTTTGGTAAAAAATCATCTGCTCGCGCTCTTCCAGTGACACCGCAGCGTCCCTGGACGGGCCGAGTCTACTTGGGCCAGGCAGTGTCTGTTGTTCTTCCTGGCCCACCTCCTGTTCAGTCCTTTCGACCGGTCGGGAAGCTTTCGCGGCTGTGGGCAACGTGAGCCATCGAACTGGGCCAATGATTGTTAGAGAAAAGCACCGCGTCGCTTTCCCTTTGAGTTCCTGCTGGTGGAGGGCACAGATGGGACCTCGACGCAGTCCATCTCTGCGCCTAAGCTCAAAGCCATTCACGGTCGAGGCAAAGTCACGAAGAGCTTACGCTGTCGTTTCCTCCGAGCAGGAGGCTGAGGTTCCTTGCGCTTCTTTATCGCACCAGAAGGCGCGGGTGATGCTTGGTTGCGTTCATTCTGGCTCTAGGATAGATGCATAGTGGACGTACACGGATCTGATACCGCCCTTCGCTTGCGCTTCGAGGCCCGGCCGCGTTCTTCATAAGATATGCCATTCCCGTCAGCTTTAAACAGAAAACATCAAGGCAAATACTGAGAGAAGATGCCTGAGCACATACAACGTCCTTGGGTTGCCCCTCCCCTCTCACGTACTACACCGGCGGGAAGGCTAATATAAGTGTGGACTCTGAGTCACAGTGAAATACGTAC